TACAGTGTTTGCTGAATTGGATGTGGACCTGTCTGACTATTTGATCAGAGTTCACTCTGTTGTTTTTATTTTTGTTTTATTGTTATGCCCCATCAGACCACAGCAAAATCATTTGTATTTGTTAAAGCATTTATTTATTATTATTGTTAATAAATGTTTGATTTCGGTCTAATTTTGTTTCAAGGATGCATTTTTCCTTTACTCTCAACACAGGGTTTGTTTAATTACTACTGCCACTACTACAACAATTATAATAGAGGTAACATCTGCACACAGTGTAAAACAACTTTTAGTGACACATAACATTTTGGCCCTTAGCTTGTCATGCTTGAAAAAAATTGGCTCTTTGGTAAATATAATTGGGGAACCCTGATCTAGAAGGTCAAGCTGTAATGGAGCCAGCAGCATCTTTTTTTATTAACTTCTTTCAGACACTCACATCACTTCCTCCTGTTCATTTCCGTTTTTCAAACACTTTCTCACCCTCTCTTCTTCCTTGTTTCCCACTATTGTTTTGACTTGAGGATTCGGTTGCTGTCACCATTTCTTCTTTTGTGGTGAGATTCAGGTGTTTTCCCAGTTAGTTAAAGGTCCCATGTCATGGCCATTTCCACTGATCATAATTCCATTGTTGAGGTCTACTAGAATAGATTTATATTGTGCAATTTTCCAAACTCACATTGGTTTCTTATACAGCATCTCTGTAAACTACGTGTATTCACTGAATTTCACTCTCTGCCTTTAACGGCTCGTTGTAGCTCCAGCAGAGTCCTGCACGGGTCTGATTTTCAAGACCCGCTCCCGCCCCGCACCCGCGACGTGCAATACCAAACCCGCCCCGCTACCCGCACATATTACCAATTAGTTCCGCAACCCGACCCGTCGGCACAGGATCCGCAACCCGACCCGAACCCGCATATATATATGAGCAGTGAAAACGTGCAATTATTAACACACGCAGTTGCATATTTCTCTCAAAAAGCGTGGGATGTTGGTTATTCTCTCCATCTAGGATGACACCAAAAGCCTCCCAGACGTTGGATTTCGCTCTTGAGGAAGTGTTGGAAAATGCTGTATTCTCCGCTAGAGAGCTTCACCTCAGCCATTCAGAATGTGGCGCGCTCAGAAGCAGATCGATGCGCTGCAGGGGTTATGATTATGCACGGTCCCGCGGGGGAGAGGTCTGAGGATTTAAACATTAAACTAAATTATTATTATTTAAATATATTTATTATGCAACACCCGCGACCTGACCCGCATCATCTTTGTTTTACCCAGAACCGATGCCGGACTCTGCTTCAGCCTGCTCTCTCCGAAATCCTCCGGGTCTTCAACTACGGACCTCCACTCTCCCCCCCCGTAGTTATTCCCAGATCCGGATTATTAATTCCACATCAGTATTATTTGAATTTTGAGTTGGAAATTAAATTATTTTTGCTTCTATACTCACGTCTGCTCCCTTCCGTGTTTGTATTGAGGGTNGTGTGTGTGTGTGAGGAAGTCTGTGGATTGGTCAATTTGGACCAATCAGCGGGGGCTTAACGTAACGGCTCCGCGGACGTAACGTAACGGCTCCACGGATTGGTCCATTTAGTTCCGGGTACAGTTGACATCATGCGTACCCGGAAGATCAAATGGACAATGACGTATCTCCAACGAGGCGTTTTGGGGAGGTATTTTCTGTGTTAGAGTTTTACTCGCTACAGGGTGTACGTTGAGGGTTTGTGACTCTGCAGACCGTTTACATGCATAAAACCTTCATAACACAGAAGGGGACGGGTAATAACCAGAAAAGCCTGACATGGGACCTTTAAAACAAGTTTCTTATTGGAAAAACCTCAAAAATAAACAAGGGGTCATTTACCTGTCCCTATATGCTGCAGCCCAGTTGTTACCAAAGAACCGCCCTTCAGGCTGGGAACCCTCTTTGTCTTGGTAATGGTACTTTCCTGTCAGCAGGCCACCTGCAGAGGGGGTATAAAGTCAGAGTTCAAAACATAATGATCTCAATCTTCTAAATGTTGTCCTTCACACCAAACAAAAGTGTTTGAAGCTACATTTTGAGAAACTGTTACAGTAAAGATAAACAAACAACCATGGTAAGGCTGGCCAGTCACAGTGGTGCTTTGTGTTACATTAAAAGATAACATGCAGGTGATTACCATATTTATCATTAGAGCAGTGTTTTGGTATAATAAAATGTGCTAATTAGCACGATAGATAGAACCTATAGCTGCTCTGACATTTCACTCAAAATCACCAATGACACCCTCATGGTGGCGCTACAGTCAAAATGAGATAATCAAAAAACATTAGGTCATTTAGGCACTATACAGTAAATGTCTGTTTGTTTTTGTATCAATTAAAATGGTAGATGCTAAGATATTTTACAAGTGTTGACCTGCAGTTGGTGCTAGAGGAAAAGTCAGAGGCTATCTATCCAACAGAAAGAAGATATATTGCACCTGCTAGAGGATTGTATGCGTAGAATCTCATTCCGAAATATCTCAGACATGGCAGCAACTCGGTCTCAACTTGTCTTGTAGTGGCATTGTACATCCCCTGTGAAAAGTTGTAATAGTCTAAGTTAAGCTGCACAAAATGTCGAACAGTGGATCTCTCTGCAACAAACACTACTGTAATTCTGAATTAGTATTGGCACAAAAGTTTCAGCAGGTCTCTTTGGAAACACAGTGAGTTCTAGCCTATACTGTATGATCAGGTTTATGTAAAAATAATGTGATTTTGAACACACAGCTTTTCATATGGATGGATCCACAATTGATAAATAATAAGTAGCTTGAATAGTGTAAAAATATGCAATTGATGATAGTACAAGGCCGTAAATACCTGATATACTGTGGGAACAATCCAGTTGTTGTGTTTGCAGATGCTTGCTATTTCAGCCACTTCCCAGGAAGCATAGTTTGACAGGCCAAACTCCTTGAACTTTCCCTGTGTGTGATATTGGAACATGAAATCAGAGTTTAATCAAATGTTTCTAACAAATAGGTGCAGTATCATGAATGTAACTTGTAATGTATACATTGTAGACAAATATGTTTCCATCTTTGATGTGTCACTTTACAAGAAAGGTTTCAGCCTCACACAACAAGTCATAGAAAATTGAGTATCTGGTTAATTTACCTCTTTGTGGAGGTCATTGCAGGCCTTAAGTGTATCCTGGATGGGGTTTTGGTGGTCGGGGGCATGGAGGTAGAAAAGGTCCACATTATTTGTCCTCAGCCTCTGGAGAGATATTTCCAGCTGAGAGCGCACACTTTCCGGCTTCAGAGTCTTCCCATCCCAGGGGTTGGCCTTGGTAGCTATGCTTACTGTCAGATAGAAACACCCAATTAAAAGTATGTCATCTATAAGATGTGTTCAGCAAATGGCAATCAGTGATCTTTGTCCATCAAATTACCATGCATCTATATAACTACCCATATACTAATACAAATATACAAATACAGCATTATACTTTTATTTCAATAGGTTAATCATTCTTATATCATATAATCAGAATGTTCCCATTTCATTTTCCACTAATATTATTGCCAAATCATGTCATTGTTATCATATGCAACTTATCCTTGCGCTGTTACAGTATGTATTGTTTTTATTTTTTCTAATTAGTAGTATGGTACAGTAAATATAGGCCTACTTAGGGCACCAAAAGTAAAAGGATTCTTCAGAACGGCTGTGTTCATCACTTTAATGTTGCAGCTGGAAATGGGTGAGCTATTTTCAGAAATGTGATATGCTTTATCTGATGGGTAGCATGTTTATTTCCTCCCACAGTTTAATAAAGTTTTATCTTAACCTAATATTACATTGCACATTGTATCACATTGTATACAATGTTTTAATCTCCGGACACATCCAATTCTTCCATGCAAGTGAAACCATCATCAATATTCTCAATAATAAAAGCACATTGGAGCAATGCACAATATAATGCACAGCAGTTCCTTAATAATTGTGGTACCCATAATTCAAAGCTGGTGCCAGCCCAGTCTGCAGGCTTGCAGTGGGGGGGGTCAACTACTCAGTTAATGTTAGCATGCAGCGTCGCTATGAATATGAGTGCTCCTGATGTACCTGTTTTAGGAAGATTCATGCCCCCTATGACCGTCTCAGACTTCCCGTCCACATACATGAAGGCTGTGTCCACCAGCACGTGTCCCCTGTCCATGAAAGTCTTCACCATCTCCAGACTCAGCTCCTCGTCGGCTCGCCCTCCGAAAGCCATAGTTCCCAGTAAGGTAACCGGCCGCTTACTTTGAGACGACGACATGTTTTGACGAGCTACAATCCTCGGCAAATGTTTAAGCACACTGTCTTTATTAGTGTGACGCTTACCAAGTGTGCACAGTCTTCTGGTGATTACTACCCACTGCATGCTACAGTACAGCGGCTAGCAATGAGACAAAGTGCAAAGGTCGTTGAAAGCGGAGATAAGGGAGCGTCGTAAAGTTACTTCACGGCTTTAAAACGCAATTACTTTTATTGAAGAGATATTTGGCGTCTTTGCTCAGCTGTAGTTGAGACAGTGCAAAGTTCGTTTTCTGTGTCCGTTTCCTGTTGTTTTTGAGTTAATATTTGCTGAAGTGTACTCGTTGCATCATATGTAGGCTACTGGAATGATCATATTAGATGTAGTTCTGGTTTTAACCACTAAGTGTCAGCAAATCACAATCTCTTTTTTTCTAAATTACATTATGCTCATGGGTTTCTCCTATATCAACCCAGATATGTACTGTCCATACTTACTGTAGATATGATAAACTGGGCTGACAGTAATTACATGGTTTCTCCAGTGCATTATGACTAAAGAACCACTCATTTGATTATGTATGGTTTATTGAACGATCCCCAATAGAACCATGTGGCTGTCTGTTCTGATATATAAATACTCTAATACCAACATAAAGCTAATAAAGAAAAGCTAAACAGATACACAAACAAAATTAAGGATGAACTAGTAACAGACAAATAATTACAATTAAACTTAAAAACTAAGAGAAATAACCTGAATACATAGGACATGATACTAAAGCAAGCAGCATAAACAAAAACATGTTGAGGTTCTTCTTAGAAAGACATAAGAAACATACATACATATAGTGTGGCTTAACCTGTTATTTGTCGAGGCATTTATTTGTATGTCCTTTTGAAAGGTAACTTGTTATTGAGGTGAAAAAGGAGTTTTACTGGAATTAATGCTATAATTGCCACGCAAACTGAAGGGTCCATGGGGGTCTGGAGTTTCCTGTAGTTGAAATTTGTATTTTTTCACGAGGCAAAGGTTGCCTTTGTGGTTAAAGGAAAGCCTGCATATACATCTGGGAGCTTATTCCATTATGTTTGGTAGTGCTTTTTCAAATTGTAGCTTTTGTACCTAAAGGATTCTTGGATTCAATACAGGATTGCCAACAAGGCAAAGTGATCAACTGACACTTTGTGTTTGTCTGTTTTGGTAATTTTATTAATTGGACCTTTTTGTTCTGGAATTTGCACTGAAAAATAACTAAATCAACTGGGTAATTCATGTATTTGGTTCCAGAAATAAACATACAAATAATTATTTTGGTGTTTCCATTAACATTGTTTCCGTATTGACATTAACATTGGTATGTCTGATGCTTGATGTAATTCAGACAACATGCTGTGTGTGCTCGATTAGTGGACAGATTTGTGTGTCTTTAGCGGAAGTAGTTTGGACACTCGTGGGCTACTAGGTTCCAGGCGTCATTAAAAGCGGTGACCACTCTCTCATCCAGAGGACCCTCCTCTGCAGCTGCCAAGTTTTGCTGAAGTTGATCTATACTTGACATACCAATGATGACTCCATCACCAAGATCCCCCTGGAATAGCAGACATACATGTTTAAATAAAAAGTTTTTAGGAGGATGCATTATAATTAAATACACATAAAGTATATGGTATAACATTTTCTAATTACTGTATGCCCTTATACAGCCTTCAGACTATAGTTTTGATGTCAGATATACATATGCATTAAATATATATGCACAATAGTTACCTTAAGTTGGGAGTGATGGTACATCCAGCGCATAGCAGCAGATGTCATGGTGGGTTTCTCCAAGCCGTACACTGTCTCCAAGGCCTCAATAACCAGATTGATTGCCTCAAACTGACTCTGCTTCCAGTATCTGACACAAAAAAGGACATACACAATTACTTTGGGCATATCAGTTGGCATTGTACTTGAGTGCAGACAAACATAAATACCTAACATGCAACATCATAAAAAAATACGTTTTTAAATGCAGATCTTTCACCTGTCCCTGTATGCTGCGGCCCAGATGTCACCAGAGAATCGTCCTTCAGGCAGGGGACCATCTTTGTCTATGTTATGGTACTTTCCTGTCAGAAGGCCACCTGCAGAAGAGGGGCGGTGTCAGAATTTCAAGTATTTTTGTATTAATCCATCTGCTTGACATACATTTCACAAGATAAGTGAAACTTTGACCTGATGGTGGTGCTAGAGGAAAGATCACAGGCAATCTAGCCAATATTTTTTGAGGTATTTTAGTCTCGACCCAAGTGGTGGGCTGACAAACTGTATTGTTCTCCACAGCAGGAGACACATTAATCACCAATTGTGAGTATCCTTTTAACAGAAACACAAATAAAGTGTACGATAGAAGGAAGATAGATTGCACCTGCTAGAGGATTGTATGCGTAGAACCTCATTCCGTAGTATCTCAGACATGGCAGCAACTCTGTCTCAACTTGTCTTGTAGTGGCATTGTACATCCCCTGTGAAAAGTTGTAAGGTATAAGTCTCTCCTTAATGATAAACAAATCTTTTATTTTTTATTTCTTGATTATGCAATCGCGCAATTGTTTTAGCATCTATACCTGATACACTGTGGGAACAATCCAGTTGTTGAGTCTGCAGAGGCTGACAATTTCCGCCACTTCCCAGGAAGCATAGTTTGACAGGCCAAACTCCTTGAACTTTCCCTGTGTGTGATATTTGAACATGAAATCATAGTTTAATCAAATATTCTTAAAAAAATAGGGAACAGTAACTTAGGTGTCATTTATGATAAAAAAAACAGTGTTGGCAATATGTTGTAAACACTGGTCATGTTACAGGAAAGGTTTCAGCAACACACAAGTCATATAAATCATCCCATTCATTTACCTCTTTGTGGAGTTCATTGCAGGCCTTAAGTGTATCCTGGATGGGGTTTTGACGGTCAGGGATATGGAGGTAAAAAAGGTCCACACAATCTGTCTGCAGCCTCTGGAGGGAGCTTTCCAGCTGAGAGCGCACACTCTCCGGCTTCAGAGTCTTCCCATTCCAGGGGTTGGCCTTGGTAGCTATGCTTACTGTCACACAGAAACACTTGTCATTTACAGCATGTTCTCAGCAAACAGCAAACATAAATCTATGTTCATCAGATCCCCATACATCTATAGAACTACCCATGTCTTTATATGCAAACATATGACTCGTACTTTTATTGCAATAAGTTTATCATTCTTGAATATCCTTCTAATATTGTCTTACAGTACTGCACTACTCGCAAAACCACAAACATGATAATCATAAAAGTACACAGATCATTTATTTATTCGCAGGAGTTTCAGGATTCACATAAAACTTTCGTTGCCCCAATGCAATGTCACTAGTAAAAGTCCTGCATTCCAATTTTTTTGTTAAATCATTAAAAAAAATGTGCTTCCAAATATACTCACCAAAAGTAAAAGTATTGAACATGCAGGATCGGCCAGGTNTCTCTAGAATGATAGGAAAGGAGATTTCAAACTTCCTTTATAACCTCCTTTAATATAGGAACCACTGGACCTCCCTAACCGAAAGGAGAGGAGAAAATGCTGCCCCACAATGCCTTGCAGCCGCAGCATTTGACGTCACACAACAGTCGGCCGTTCACTGACACAAACGATTATGACGGAGAAGTTATATCATGAAAGTTACGGTGCTTATTAAGCATTTTAAAACGTATGTGGTAAGTTGCCAAAGTGCTTTGTTTTGAACGTTCATCAGTATTATAATCAAAAAGAGAAATATGAACCTTAGTTTTGACTGAAATTATCAAATAAAGTCAACATTTCACTGAGCTGTGTGGGGTTTGTTCAACTTTTAAAAGATGTTTAATGGTGATATACACAGAGATAGGTGTTAAAGACTAACGTTTATAATAAATACATTTGTATTGATTTCAAGATCTTTTCATACAATCATACGTATTGGGATCATTTGTATTAATGTGGACCGGAGGGAGAGGGTGACGAGCATAACTTTCACTTTCATTTTTTATTTCAATTCCAACTTTGGTCATGAAGAATATGTTTCTCTGTTGTTCATAAAGCATAAAGCAACAGCATCAGAGCAAGGTGCAGAGTCTCTAGATGAGTTTACAGTAGTCCTTCGTTCATATTAAACATCCATGTTGTAGTCCGCTGTATAGAAAACTGTAGTTTCCATAGTTTCCCCACAGCAGCAGACACACAAAATGACGTCCGTTGGCGCATCGTAAACACGCCGGATAGTGAAAGTGCAGTCGGATTCTCTAAAGCAGCGCAGTCTCTTCTCCTAAATCCTTTTGAATTCTCCTATCCACTATCCCTTAACCCCGTGACGTTTCACTCAGAGGTCAAGGGATAGACGATAGGGATAGACGTTAGGAGCTGATTTTTGGATTATCCGACCGCAGCCTTACTCTGGCATCTTGTGGCAACTCCCGTTCAGCAGCGGCAGATGCATCGGCAAGTAGTGGCATCTGTGGCAGATGCCGGAAGTAGTTGCCACAGATTCCACGGAGTAGTGGCCACTGTGGCAGATGCCGGAAGTGCTTTGCCACTGCCTGCAGATGCCACGAAATGCGCTTGCTGTCTCTCCAGCATTCACCCCCAGAGTTTTTGTGTCTCTCAACTGGCAGGTTGTTGAAGGTGATTCTGGGTCATGACTTGCCTGTTGTCGTGGTTTTCCCCCCCGATATCACTTTTTTACTGAGGCTCCTGGAAGCTTACAAAACCTGTTTCACAGTGCTGCAGGACGATTCTCTGAACAAACTGATAATGTTTCATACTCTCCAAAACCGAGACAAAAAAAGCTACTGGACGTGTTGACCAAGATTTTGTGAGAGAAATTGTGAGGGGCAGTGCAGGTTAAGCAGGACTGTCTGCTTCCCTCCAGGAATTTATTATCTCAGTGAACTCTTAGCTCAATGCAGCAATTGATTGGAGTTTTGTTCAACTTATGTCACTTGAGCTTTTATCTGGCTACAATAATATTATCTCTCACATGAAGTCACGATAAGAGCACACTGATTTCTGACTTTCCATTTTAGCAGGTTCCTGATGGAGACGAGAAACCTGCTGGTAAACGCATGCGTGCCTAGACGCCGATCATGTATAAATGCTCCGATCCTACAGCACCACGCCCATTTTAATAACCATAGACTGTGTGCACTTTGGCCGCGGAACTCTTTTAAAGACGTGCATTTGCAGAGGTTTGTGGCTCGTAGCAACATGTCGTCGTCTCAAAGTAAGCGACCGGTTTCCATATTGGGAACTAACTCTTTCGGTAGTAAAGCCGACGCGGAGCAGAGCCTGGAGATGGTGAAGACTTTCCTGGACAGGGGGCACGTGCTGCTGGACACAGCTAACATACGCGGACGGGAAGGCAGAGACGTTTATAGGGAGCATGAATCTTCCTAAAACAGGTAGGCTACATGAGATGCGCCAATATAGAAGTGGTGGATAGTAACCGAGGGAATGTACTGTACTGTAAGTACACTTTTGTACTTACATTCTATTTTATACTTCTGTTTAACTACATCACAAAGGGAAATTGGATTTGGTTTTAACTCCACAACATTTATCTGATCATTGCTGCTGATTAGTATAACATATAAACAAGTATGTAATTATTATGTGGTTTATATAAGAAGAAAAAAACGTTATTTATCCATTGTGTAAAGTAAACAATGTAGATAAAGTATATAAAGTAGCAGTAGTAGCTCCTCTTTAAAGTAATGAACGCATTATGCATCATTAATCCAATAATATTATACACACTTTTCTGACCTGGCCGATCCTGCATGTTCAATACTTTTACTTTTGGTGAGTATATTTGGAAGCACNTGATAGGTGTTAAGGACTAACGTTTATAATAAATACATTTGTATTGATTTCACATTAATACAAATGATCCCAATACGTATGATTGTATGAAAAGATCTTGAAATCAATACAAATGTATTTATTATAAACGTTAGTCCTTAACACCTATCACTGTGTATATCACCATTCAAACATCTTTTAAAAGTTGAACAAACCCCACACAGCTCAGTGACATGTTGACTTTATTTGATAATTTCAGTAAAAACTAACGTACTGTAATTGTAATCAGTAATTGTGTAAAGGTTAAAAAACACAGTCATTATCTATCATGCATCCTCACTGTTCGAGCACTGCAGCTGCACACCTTTTAGTTCATGATTTGGAGTAATAGCATGAATATTACATTACTCAATAAATTAAGCGTAATAATAATTACGATTAATTATTATTATCTTAAGAGCTTGAGGACTAATCACGGGGTTTTGTCAAGCAAAGCATGGGTGTAGTCCCAAACAATAGCTGAGGATTCTGTGTAGTGTAACCTATTCCCATTTATCCAACTTTTCCTACAACGTTAATTTATCTTTCAAAGGAAGTGGTGATTAGGGGTTGTTGCTAAGTTACCTAACAGATTTAATTACATTTATTGAATATATATTTGCCTTTTTCACTCGGTCAGTTGAGGCATTGCACATTTTTCCATTTTCTGTAACAATTTCCTGTTTTTTGGGATAAGTTTTGTTCAATTGTATTTGTTGCATCTTATGTACAGGACTTGTCTTACTATATGTAGTTCCTTTCTTAACCTCTAAGTGTCAGCAAATCACCATCTGTGTCTTTTTAATCACTTATTATGACCCTGGGTTTTTCCTGCATCCATCCAGCAATGTGCTGTCCAAACTTACTGCAGATATGATAGGCCGATGCATTAGGTTCATTGATATTATTTCGTGGTAAGTGTGTCCGAACTAAAGATCCTGTTGTTTTATTGTTCACTTCTTTAGAAAAGCATGTTTGTCTGTTTGTCCTAAACATTTTTGCTACATTTTAAGAAAGGTTGTTTTTGTGATTGAATGAAAGCTTTCTGACATCTTGGAATAAAATCATATATTTTTGGTAGTACTACTTCAAATAATTGTTGAGGCACCAATGGGTCATGGATTCAATGCATGGATTGCCAACCAGGCTATAGGTCGTCACCTGCCAATTTCTGTCAGTCAGTTTTGTTAATTTTATGAATTGAATCAACTGGGTAGTCTATGTATTTGTAACCAGAAATAAAGAAAATAATTAATTTAGATGTTTCAGTTAAAAAACACTCCAGTTGTCTGTCCCCACATGTCTTTGATGAGCTCTGATATGTCTGATGACTGATCTAATTCAGACATGCTGTGCAGCTCGACCCTCAGAGGCTGCTCGGACAGCAGTGACCCTGGACTCTTTGGGGTCATGAACACACATGTGTGCATTGAAAGCTTTGTTTGCAGAGCAGCAGTCGGTCCCGGCGGTTGACCCTGTGACCGCACTGCTGTTTGCCCTGAAGAGGGACTGCTTCAGACTCAACCCCAAACATCCTCTGTTGTTCCGTGGGAGATAGTATATCACTCAGTTTTCCCAAAGTCCATACCTAGCGTGAGTGGTTTCACTTCCCCTCCTGCAGATGCTTCTTTGCTCTGCGTCATGGGTCCCTAAACGCGCGCACATAACTCTGCAAGCGCTCGTTTTAAAGCTGCACGAACTTTGCCAACGTCAATAGGCGAAAGTGAAACTAGAAAAACGCCATATTGCTGGAAGGATTGAATATTGACATTAATAGATTCTTAAGTAAAACGTAAATATTGTCAGACCAGCACATGTCTAAATGGAAATATTCAGGCGTTTTTGTGCCATTTTTTAAAATAATATTGCAACAACCTTTAAGTGAACACGAGAAAAAGCGAAGAGCAAAGTTTGATGCGAAGTTAAAGTCTCTTAATCGAGCCTGAACCCTCCGTTTGTGAGTGCACTTGTGTTTGTGTGTGTTTCAGAAGCTCTGCATAATAAATGAAACCCATTCCATCCCCCCCTCCAAACATCATTACAAAGTGAATGGAGGGAGGCAGAAAGCGCTCAGCCTCCACAACTTTTTGACCGTCAGTCTGACATCTGCAGTGACGAAGCGTAGGTGAGCTGCCGGTTGCAGTCAGTGACACACCGGCGGAGAGGAAGAACACACACTCCATGTGATGGAGCGGTCATTTATGGAAAGCGCTGATTATTTCCACGCGGAGGAAGTTTTACGCGCCTATTGAGTTTCTCCCTGTCTTCTTTTTATTCAGTTATTTATTAGGTTACTTTTTT